AGCAGGAAAGCTTTTGATGAAATCTAAACACAGAGGCACAGAATACAGCAAGGGAGCTGTACAAAACAGCAGGAGCCAGGACACCAGCTGGCTGAGTAGATGCTTAGAAGGAGGGTCTGGAAGGTTTCCACTACCATCTCCATTACTGAACTGCTGTGGGAGTGTGCAAAAGGTCTGTTGTTTTCAGGAATTTGGGTAAGTGGTTTCTGGGGGCCCAAAATGTAGCTCTCTTTCTGTTCTAAGTGCATCTGAAGCATTTAAAATTAGATCTGCTCTTCAATAGAAACCATTCATGAAAATACCAGCTTTAAATGTCTTTACAGTGCCAGTTACTCACTGGAAGCATACCACCCACTTATCTTATACCCTACAAGTGCAGAGTCTGAAAAATTTCAAGATCATGACATGTAACAGACCAAACAAGCAGAAAGCCTTATTTAAAGGCACTATTAACCCAGCTGGAAACATGAATAGAAATGTGAGTAGAAATAATATTTGATGTTGGATAAGACAAGACTTACCTGCAGGTCAAAGAACTTGCTGTATCTCCGGTATATGATCTGGGTAGTCAGGTCAGACCATGTTACATTGATGATATAGACCTGTTCAGGGAAAAGAAAATACAAGTTAAGGTGGGCTCTGAAGCACTGGATACCTTGAAAGGCTGAAAAGTCAGTACAGGTAAATTCCACACAGGCTACTCCTGCTCCCAACAAGGAATACAATCCTGGGTGCAAAACTTGCCTAAATTAAAGGCATTGCCCTGCTGCAGCCTTTAGCAGAAGCCTCAGGAGAGCATCCAGTGTTATCCCACATGTCCCCATCACCAGCTCACACTTGATTTTACTCTCTCTGAGAATGAAGCTTTAATCTAGTGTCAGGATATTTTCTAGTCCCTGGTAGCACACTCTGGCCTCTGCCTGTTTGGGGGGTCCCAGAGCATGCTGCAGGCACCGTCAGGAGACCTATTCTGCTCCTGAATTAACAGTCCATCATGGGCTGCTGACCTCCAACCTCATGCTCCAGGTTCTCCTTGTACACTGAGATGTGACCATGGCCCTTCCCAGGCAAGACGTGGCTCTAGATCGATAGAGAAATTCAAAGTAAACAGTTCCAGCGGAGTTGTGGGGTCACAGCCGCACAGCACAACCAGTTATGTATGCCTATACACATAGCAACGACTCAACCCTACAGCATACAGCCCTTCCTGAATCATGTCACACCACTCAGCACCTCAGGCCCCAACCAGACTGATTTGAAAGTGATATAAGGCAGGTCACTGTTCTCACTTTGGTGGAAACTGCAACACGCGTGCAGAACAAGCCCAGGATTTCCCTTGTCCAGCCAAAACTTACGCCCAAAACAATCACCTTACAAAAACACTGTTTTGCCAGAAACTGTGATTAAAAGTTATTCGCATGTGTAGGGACACACATACACATATACATAACACAGAAAAGTTTCCTTTTCACACTAGTACCTCCCAAAGATTTTTAAAAAATAAAATAGAGCCAGATTCTGCTCTCTCATCCCATTCAGGTCAAATGCTGGTCCTGCTGCCTTGATGATGCACACAACAAGACTTCAGCAAACACAGGAGCCATCAAGGGTGACCCCTGAGGGTAACTACACAATGCCAGTGTAATGGAGATCACAGCTAGGCCACAGCTCCTGGGTCTTTAAAGCCATTTCCAGGTTTCACAAATGAAGTGGTACGAGGATCTGGCAGAGGAAACAGGAAAGCATTCCTCCTCTCTCAGCCCCAGTAATGCACCAGGAGCTCTCCCCTTTTGCTATGGATGCAGATGTGAAGTGCTCTGCCTCCAGTGAGAGGGGATGGATAAGCATGACCCTCTTCTCCATCTCCCCCAGAACCCTAGCGCATCTTCCAGGGTGCTGATACAGGGTAATTGATTCTGTGCTTTTAGCAATAAAAGGTATTGAATGAAAACCACTAAAGGAATGTCAGGAAAGAACAGCCTTAACAATGCTTCTCCAAGAACCAATGGATTTTTCCCATCTTCTTTCCCAGTAGAAGAGAGGTGTCATCTGATGTCCTTGAAACCATGCAGATCCTGCAGCCTTACTTTCATCTCTGCTTGTAACAACCACATCCAGTTCCTAAGGCACTTTGATCCCCACCTCCTAAAGCCCAGCTCCATGGTATTTAAGAACTGGACATACTGAGCACAGACTGTTAAAGAGAACTGGGGCCTTTCATAGAGCCAGGACTCAGAGCCCAAGTTTGACCCAATTATCATATCAAACCTATCTATTGCTCCCACCAGAGCTGAAACCAAGGGAAGGACTGCCCAGGGATGACAGCATGACTCTCAGCAAACCCAGGTTATTCCTCTGCTGCATTTCTCCCATAAAACCAAGGCACACAACCTCCTTCCCACAGTACCCATATACACAAGGGTGAGAGCAGCACTGCCCTGCTTCATGAGCGGAAGACAAGACTACATAAGATGAAGATTTCAGGTTCCCTTTAAGGATCTTTTCCATGTTGACAAGCCAGAGGAGAGAGACCCTGGGAAGGAAGCTGCTGTTGCCAATTTTCAGGCCAGCCACACTACACTGAAGAATATTTTTCCATGTGTTTGTTGTGGGGAAAAAAAAAAAAAGTTTGTAGCTTCACTCTGAGCTAATTCACAACACAAACATTTCTACTCTTTCTCTATCCAACAGCTACTTTCAAATGGAAAACCCATTCAATTAAAAACAGATCATGACAGATGGGAGCTGACTGTGATCCAAAAGAAACTTCAGATACTGTAATTCTGGCCCCAGGTTCTCACAAAGGGGACGAGACAAGGACAGGAGAAACATATTGTACATGCAAATAAAGATGGTATTTTTTCTTTAATGATGTGTCTTTCCCTCAGAAGGTAGAAACAAAACACCTATGCCACAGACATCCAGGCTTTTTGTATTTCATTGCACTTTAGGCTTTCCCATGCTACTCTTCAGAACCCACAAAAACTGCTTATCCCAAAACATTTTTAACTGGCTGCAAATCTGCTTGATCCAGATCTAGCCCAGACAGGAGTCAATCCTGCTTTAAGAGCCCAGCAGTGCTCAGTGGTGCAGTAAGTGACACAAGGCACCCACCACACGAGATGGGGTTGAGCTGGGTGTGAAGAGACATTCTAGGCAAGAGGTTAAATGCATTTGGTGCAGGAAGTTGGGTGCAGGTGGAGGATCCCAGTGCACGGTGCCATATGGTCCCACCTCTGAAATCCCTGCATCTGTGGTTGTGAAGCTGCCACTGACTTCAGTCAAGCCAGGATTTTGCTGCACATTTAAAACAGCAATTAAATCTTTTTGAGCCCTAGATCTTTTCAAGCTCAGCAAGTGATGAATCATACAGCATTCAGATGCACTGACTTCTGTCATGGGAAAATGATAGCAGGAACCAGAAAAGCTTTTAATCATAACCTAGAGCTGTGTGAAGTAAGAAACAAATGGGCTTAAAATCTGCATGGTGGGACACAGGTGCAAAACCTGAAATGGCTATTGATTTTGTGTCTTTGCAAAAATCGAATTGCTTCTTGAAAGCCACCACTTAAAATAATGGGGAATCATTGTTTGCTTGAACTCAGAAAAGATCACCAAAATGTCAGATTTTAAAAGCAAGGTCCAGCGGTTTCAAAAGCCTTACATATCCAATTTCTCTCCCTCACAGATCAGAGTTTGGTGATTATTCACTTCTGCTGCCTTAGTCAGATCCATAACCTTTTCATAAGTAGCAAACATTACATCAGCTTATCTCGACTTTTTTTTTTTTTCCCCTCAGATCTTAAAAATGGGTCTCTGTGAAAGCAATCTCTTCACTGATATCCCTGGGGAGAATGAGGAAAGCAGTCCTGGGGGAGCCAGAGGTCATGCAAATGCAAAGGGACAGGGAAGCAGCAGGAAGTATCAGATAAATATGAAGAGCTGTCCCACGCTCCAAAGCCCGGCAGTCCCCGCACTGCCCACTCAAGCTGCCTGCAGACCTAAGGGAGGGTTTTCTGTGGCATCTGATGGCTCCCCAAAACTGAGCCATGCAAGCCACTGCTTCAGCACACAGCTGGTCCTGCCCACGGGAGAGTCCCAGGCCCCTGGCACGCTGCTTCCTCATAAAAGAAGATAAAATCAAAGTATCTTACATGTCTTGGAGCAAGCTCTTCCATTAAGTACAGTATTTTCCTATTTAAGTACAGTGTTTTCCTACAGTCCATACATGCACAGAACTAAACTTTAAAAGTGATTGCAAATTACAAATTACTACAATAATTAATTACTTAGGGTAAAAAGATCTGCTTTACGTATCTGCCATGTTTATGACTTTAAAGGAGTCAAAATGCAGCTGCTTCAAATGCTTCACCGTAAAAATCTTTAAAAGAAAAATCCCTGACAATAAATAATAATTGAAGTACAAACTATAAACAACTCCTGCACAACCACTGGGTGTTCAAGCCACTAAGAATATTCCATTTTTAGTTTCACAAAGCCATTCTTTTTTTAGTCTTCTATGTATTTTAAAATAAACCTTTCTTCAGAGAAACAAGAAGCAGGCCTGTACAAACCAGAGAATATTAATCAGGAACCAAGCTTGATAAGCAGCTCTTAATATTCATGCTGTGTGAAAGAAGGTAAAGGATGTCCGGAGGATTTTATCAGCTGCTAATTATTGTTTAATTCCATCTCTGGGAAACTGCAATTTTACCCACTACAGAGCAGAAAATTTATTTCAAACTGAGATTATTGCTCTCCTTTACTGCCTACTGCAAGCAATGAGGAGAGATGACTTTGCACTACAAAAAGCATTCACTCAAATGTCATTGGGCATGACTTTTATCATTGAACGTCTTGTTTTCAATGGAAAATATACAGTTCCAGCTGGCACAGAATCCAGAGGTAGAGAATTCAGGTTATTGTCATGTGACTGATTCTTCAACTGGCTCTTTAGAGGCTTTTGTTTTGTTTTCTATAGCCAGATGAGCTGTAGTGGAAGATAAATGTCTGAGATGAGCAGTTTGATGAGACCAAGATAAGAATATCCACAAATAGCTGTTGGCAAAGACAAGATGGAAAAGCAGAGACTAGACATACCCCTGCACACATAAGAGAGGCTGCTGTTAACCTTTAATAAGTAATTACAGTAATCACCAGCTATTTAGAAAGTTTTTGTGAATGCAAAAAACAAAGCTACAGTGCAATTTGTATGCAGATACCATCACGATAGCCCCTTTTATCCTGGAGAACTCAGCTTCTTCAGAGTCTCATATTAAAGTGTTGGATGTTTGTCCTCCAGTGAATCATGACTGAGCTGGAAAAAGCATACCTTTGCCCCTATGTTCAATGCTATTGCTGCCTTTAAGCTGGGAACTTTCCACCAGCACAGCTCAGCATGTGAACACTCTCTGGTCTGCCTCTGTGCAGTTAGCCCAACTCCTGCAAGGCTTGAAGAAATTTCAGCTGGGTCGTTTATCTGGTGGAGTTTACACTAAAACAGCTCAAACCACAGCCCTCCTCAAAGTCAACATACATCTGTGTCCTTAATTAGCAGAGTACAGGCACTGCACTGACTTACTGCTTGCGTAACCATTTTAAT